ATTTTTAGCACCGTCAGGTGAGGAGTTCTCACACTTATCACCCAAGCCTGGGAGCTAACCCAGATAAGCTGGTGGCTTATCCGGTTCCCCGTGGCTCTCACACACTGGAGGGACATTGGCAAGGCTTGAGCAACCGCCTCTGCAGGCTGATCAGCAGCAGCCAAGCAAGACTCAGCACTCCCCATAGCAGAGAAGCACTGCCCACAGCAGCGACACAGCACGCACATTCCTCCTGCCTGTCCAGACTTTGGGACAGGGATGTGCAATGGGACATGGGCAGGGGAGGGCCCTGCACTGGGTCCTTGTTTAGGGGCATGGGGAGGACACCCCAGCTGGGGAGGTGATGGATGGGGGGAGGCAAGATGGGAACCTGGAGTGAGCAGCTCTGGGGTGCAGGGGAGAAGGTGGGGAGCACCTTCTTTGGGGTGATTTGGGGTGAGGCAGTGAACACACACACGTTGAGTTGTCTCTAGCACTTAAATCCCTATGCTATTTGCATCAACAGGAGTTGTTCCCACTTCCCCAAGCTGTAATTTCAGGCTTTCCTAGATAAATCACCATGCCTAGGTACCCTTTGATAATATTTGCAGAACTATCTTCATCGCTGGGGAACGTATTTCCGTACTGATTTAATGAAAGCAGAGATTCTGCAGTCAGCAGGAGCTGTAGCCTTACATACAATTCTTAATTCAGGAAATTGGATGTGGTTGGAAATGTCTCAGCAGGCAAAGCTTGGGAAATCCTGCTGTGGCTCATTCCTGTTGTGAGGCTGTGTGTCCATGAGATAGAATTTAGGGCACCTAATCCTGAATTTAAAAAGCCACAGCCCACGTAACACAAAGTGGCTGAACAGGTATAAAGACGCTCTCCCAGTGGAAAGTTGTTTGCAAATTGTTGAAGGAGTAATTGTAGCCTAAAGAGGCTTTTGCCAGCTTGGGAGCAGATGGACTTTGCTCACGTAGTCCACAGGCTTTTCAGTCAGGCCTTTTTGGCCCCTTTCCCAGGGCTCCAAGGTCATGACTCGAGACGCTCAGTCTATCATGGCATTCCTCACAAGCAGAATTGGGGGCAAAATTTTCTTCTTCTGATTCAGAGACTTGCTGGACTGAGATATTTCTTTGACTGCTGCCAAACCACCTTGGTTACAGCCAAACAGCAACTGTACAACCTCGATGTGCAGTAGCTGGACTCCACCCCTTAGCACCCACGATCTTAGTCCAGATATGCTGAGGCATACCGATGCCTATCAACTAGACCGGAAGGCAGGCCTTAAATCAGAGCTACTCACAATGATGAAACTCACCCTTAGCAACCATGTTTCCTATTTCAACCTAAGCAGAATTACAGGAGCCGCTTGGATGTTAGGAGGGGCAGGGGTGTTCATGAGGAAAGCCAGAACTAGGGACTCAAGGAATTGTGTTGTATTAGCATGGGTAGATCAGCACAGGCAATTTCAGAATCAAGGGGAGTACAGGAACAAGGCTGAGGCTCTAGGGGAAGGACTACAAATAAAACTATGGGCAACTATGTCCTAGCAACAGATAAGGGTGCCCAGTCCCTTCTACATGAATGACAGGTTACAACCAGCATCAGCAGCAATTCTTTGAGGACTGTCTGGGATTGCTCGCTGTACAAGGGCAATTTACGTCTTCCAAGGAGGAGAAAGAAGACGGGATGTTGTGCAAGGAAAGGCTAAAAGGCTAGCAAGAGGGCAGTGAGTTGCTCTTGAAGCCAGGCTGTCTCTGAAGTGCAGGCACACAGAGGAGGTGCCCAGGGTCAGGACCTGAGGCGGATGCCTAACCCCTAGCATAAGACATGCTTTTGTGGGGTGTCCCTTTGCTGTGATTTCTGGCCTTGCACATATGTGCTATCTGTACCCTGGAACTTGATCTGCCTCCACCATGGCAGCAGATTCTCCTATATCCCGTTGTCCTGGCCCTGTCCTACCTGGAGCACATGGTGACAGTTTTGAGAAAGCAAGAGCAGATGCAGTCACCACCTGCCTCGCTCTCATAACCAGGGCTCAGGTATTATACTGAAGTAATATCCCCATTGATTTTACTCACTTCTCCTCACCTGTGGCTCCCTCTGGCCAAGAGTTTGACATGATTAAGGGCACTGTTTGTGGAAACAGCATCATGGCAACTTATAACCTTTGGCTTGGATAAAGAAGCATTTTTGGATCTCCTGGGATATCTTCTTGGATAAAGAAGATCCTCCGAACATATGATGCAGATCAGTACCATGTCCTCTAAATATGAAGCACCTGTAAGGATCTGCAGTGTGATACAGGAAAGTTCTCCTGGGGAGGAAAAACTACCTGGCTGAAAAGGTTGGAGGAGAGGAGACTTATCCCATTGCTGAGTGCCCATGCAGATGGGTAAGCCTGTGCCACCAAGATCTGCTGTGATGTGTCTTCATCTCCATCAGATGTACTGATAAACTTTGGTGTGGTGGACATCTCTTTGCCACACATTGATAAGGATCAAGGTGACGGAAGAGGAGGATTGCCAGCTCTAACAAGACTAGCTCTGCCTTTCTCAGCCCACGGTGGCCCTTCCTATGCCACCTTTAGGCAAGCACTTTTGTTTCTTCAGTGCCATGAAACAAGTGGCAGTGCAGCCAAGTACACCATCCCTGTCTCTGTGGTGTGCAATCACAGTGTGCAGGGGCCTTTCCAGACAAGGACTCTGAACTTAGTGATACCCAATAAGGACACTGGTTCTGAAGCTTTAGATATTGTCTCCTAATCATAGTGGCTCTAACCTAGGGGTAGGAAGAGAGATGTGGCATTGTACTGATGGAACTAGCCATGGCCTTCACACTGTGGAACATGCCACAGGCCCCTGGCCCAGCTGGCAGAGCCTGGGACAAACTGCAGCAGAGGATGCTCCTGTTGTGCTAATGTCAGGCATTTACTTTAGAGCTCCTTAAAAGCCAGTGGAGAGCCCCAGACTTCCAACATGCAAGAACAGGCTGCCTTAGGGAGACTCAAGTCTGAAGGCTAAATTTCTTTTATATGAATAGCCCTGGTAGCATCTCCTCTGGGATGGTATCCCCTCCCTCATTATCTACTAGCTGGTCTCTAAGCTTCCTAGGCAATTTGGAGGAAGGTCCCTGGACAGGTGTGACCCAAGGAGGCTGGGGGCAGCTAAGATGGGTTACAGTACACAGCTGGCAGAAATACTGCAGGGAACACAGAACCTACCGTTGGTCCTTTAAATGTCCTCCCACATCTCCAGCTCTAAGTTATCAAATATCTGGACATTTCCCTTCTCCATCTGCCAGTTCTTGCAAAGAAACAGCCACTTCTAGTCCACCCCCTGCAACCTGCTACACCTTGGCTCCAGGAGCAGCATATCTCCTTGGATGGATGTCTGAGGTCCTTCACAGAGGCTCCACATGTCCAGTCTCACAGAATTTTGCATTTGAAATGAATTTATTTAATCGCACACACACACACATACACGCACACCCCAAGCAGAGGGAAGCTGGGTCTTCTGCAGAAGAAAGGGATTGTGTTCAAGAGCTGAACCCTGAGGTTTCTAGAAGGGAGGAAGGATAGAGAGAGCATGTCACAGCAGAGAAACCCATGGGCTTTGAGGGCCAAATCTCAGAGATGGAGAAGGAGGCCCACTCCGGCCTTTACTCCAGCCCCCTTGTATCATGGGGTGATTAATGACCTGGCCAAAGGCAGAAGCCTTTCCCTGCCCTCCCCAGCTCCAACAGACAGCTCTGCTGTCCCTTGACCATGCTGGCTAGAAATATGCAGGAGTGACAGTCTCTGGGGTCATGCTTGAAGGAGGTAAGAGAGAGGGGGACTATCATGTCCTCAGCAGATGGGAAACGGATGGGCCTCAGAAGAGAAGAAGAAAGTGTTTCAGAGCATTTCAGTTCTGGGCCTCTTCAGGAAATCAGAGACCATCTTGTGATTTAGAGACAAATATGCAAGACAAGGAAAGCTTTAAACCACAGGCTTGGCCTACTGCCTGAATTTTTTCCCTCCTCCTTCGGAGTAATTACAGTTGAGCCATGTTGTAATTGGGTAACTTTTTCCAAATAAATCCTTTCACCCTGACTGAATCATACTTGCCACAAAGGGACCGTGGAGGCGGAGAACAGATATACAGACCCTATCGGTTTATTGTGACAGTGTGTTTTGCCCTCCCCCACCCCCCATGTTCCTCAGCCCTCCAAACCCACTGGGGTAGATGCAAGAGCCGGGCACTGAGCTTTCCTGGGTAGTTCTTCCCCATCTCTCCAAGACAGCAGCCTCCAGGTTTGTTGTGTCCTATGATCAAGCTATACTGCATGATTTGGAGGGCATCTAGGAGTTCTGCAAGCTTGGAGCTATTTTTCCTGCTTTGGCTCCTGTATCTGCAGGAGCTGGTGGTAAGGGCTGGGTCAATAGCTGTGCAGCCTCTGGGGACAGCAAGACTTAATAGCATGGCTGGGAATCCCAGAATCCATGGTGCCATTCTGCTCCTGGGATTTCACCTCGACCATGTAGTTTCTGAGGTATTGTGTGCAATTAGTGATAGTTCTTCCGCTCCTGGTTTAGGCAGAGCTGAAGAGCCCGGCCCTCCTCCCAGGCCCTTCCCACCAAGTCTCAATCCATCTGACCATTTTCCATGTGGGATAAAAGCCTTGCATAGTAAAACACTCATTGTAAAACTATTTTCCATTGGCTTCATGGCCACGCACAGCTGGATCTCCTCCTGGAGTGGCTGGCAGCCTTCTTGCAAGGGTTGGGTTTAGCATCCTAGAGGTTGAGAGTGGGAGGAGGCAGATCTGCCTAAGAGGCCTCCCCGCCCCCAAAAGTTATCCCCTCCCATGCCCTCACCCTTTCCTCAGTCTCATTGGCAGGAAAATGGAGAAGGGCTGTGACAACTCAGCTTTGCATCTATTTAAAGGCAAGGGTGGGGCTCCTCAGCTGCTTGTCTGGGACTTCTGCATCTTGGTGGAGAGGATCATCAGCCTGAAGAGTGGCACCATGTCTTGTGTGAGTAGAGAGAAGGATGGGGAAGGCAGTGCATGGCTGCAAGAAGGGCTTGTTTCCCTGGATCTGCAGGGGTAGCTTTTCTGGAGGTGAGGCTTTACAGAGTAGGAGTGTGGTGAAGGCATTGGCTTGGTGTGAGGGTATTTGTGCTGTCTTCCTCCATCCACTCATCAGTCCCTGTGTTGGAAGGCCTGCCAGAGCTGGATGCCTGGTGCTGGGGGAGTAAGGATCTCTGCTGCGTCTACTATGAGGGTGATGCTATTTCTTGTTCTGGCAGGAATACATTTTTTTCCCCCTGCAGGATGGCTTTGGGGAGATTGGGGGGGGGGAGTGGTCTTTGCTTTGTTGGTTTCTAAGTTGGGGTAGCCTATTTTACAGCAGCTGTGCTCTGGGGAAGCAGCTGCTGTAATACTTAATGCCCTCCAAGCATTTCTTCTCCTGGGCAGCCTTGCCACTCACTTTCTGACTGAAGTTTTCATGAGTCATCCAGTCCCTATTGCTCTCTCCTGTAAGAAAATATGCTCTTAAAAGTATTGTTCTGTGAGTGCCATGGATTGCTGGGGCAATACTTGTATCAGAAGAGTGTTTGTACTTGTTCTACTGACTTATCTCACCCTAGATATGGGGGGGGTGGGGAAAGAGGGAGTGCCCCAAGTGCATACTTCCACTGAACCGGGGTGCGGAGAGGTGGGAGAAGTTCTTCATACTTCTGTGGCCTAGCCCCTGGTGTGATGGAAAGTGAGCCTGGAGTCAGAGCTGACCAGATATATGGGCTTTCCAGGATATCTTAGTCCTCCTAGAAAGAAGGTGAGTAAGGGTGTATGCACGGAGCAGGAGACTATATCCTTGCAAAAAACAAGTCCTAAGGAGTTGGGCAAGGCTTGGAGCTCAAATCAAAGCAAGGGGAAGGGAGTGGAGGCTCCATCCCTCCACAGCCAGGCTCATGTGGGAATATGTGAGACCCACAGGGCATGTGGGTGTGTTTGGCAAGTGCTGGGTGAGGGTGGGCAGGTGTGGTAGGAGCTTGAGAGTGCTCTCACCTCACTGCAGTGAAATACAAATGTGTTGATAAGAGCAGCTGGAGGGGGGCTGGGAACCCAGGCATATCCCCATGCAATTGGGTAACTTCTCTGGAGTGCCCCCTTTGCCCTGCCCTAGGGAAAGGGAGCCTACCTGTCTCTCCAGCAGTCCAAACCAATGCTTTCTCCACAAGGCAGCGGGAAGAGATGCCGGGTCAGAGCAAGTGAGCCAGAAGGTACTGAGATAAGCTCTGCCTCTCTGTTCCCCAGGGACCAGTGTGCACCAACTTGGGTCTCAAGCCTGGCCAGCGCCTCACTGTGAAGGGGAAAATTTCACCAAGTGCCAAAAGGTAAGTCATGCCATCTGCCAGGGCACGGCTGAGGCATCATGCTGATCTGGCTTTTGCTGGCGGGGGACAGAGGGAATCCCTTCCGTGGGTGGGAAGAGTGGGAGAGGTGCAGCTTTGGAAGGGGTTAACACTAGCAGTGCTTTCCAGTGAGTCATTGCCTAATGCACATTGCAGACTCACTCTCCTGCCAAAGGGCTAAGCCAAAGCAGATGTGAACCTCCAGCCACAGGCACTGGCAGCAGCCACATCCTCTCTAGTGCAGGGTAAAGGAAATGGAAGCTGTGTCTATACTGAGATTTGGCTTGAGACCGTCCACACAGCCACATCCTTTCATCTGCACTGAGATAGCTCTGCAGCAGGGGCCCCGTTGCAGTGCCTGGCTGCACTGGACAGGAAGAGATTATGGGTCAAGCAGCTGAGAGGCCCTGGGTGCTCTGGGTCAGCGTGAAAGGATGCTCTGAGTCACAGCTCCAGCTAACAGTGCGAATGAAAAAGCTGCAAGTGGCAAAAGGGGGTCCTAGGATGTTTAAGTCCACCTTCTCCTAGTGGCAGTGCCTCTCAGATGCTGGTGGTAAAGGAAGCGGGGAGAGGTGGTGAGCTGGTAGGTTGGTTTAGTAAGTGGAAGATAGCTCCTAGCTCTGCAAGGACCAGTGGCTGGGCCCCTCAGGAAGACCTTTGCAGCAGCGCTGTGCTTTTGTATGGGTCTGCGGCTGGTAGGGTCCCCCTGGTGGGTAGTGAAGCACGTAGCTGCTGTTCTGGGACCAGCAGCGTTCCAGGAAACATGTCCCAGCTCTTCCCAATGCCTTTGAAGTTTGATAGCATCAGAGTGAAGCCTCCTGGGCTTTCTCTTACCAAATAATATGCCTCCTCACTTCTCATCTGGGTAAGAGGCCTGGAGGCAAGGTGGATGCTGGACTGGGAAGCTGTTTCCTCCCGCTGCAGTTGCAGATACTTTGGGAGATGAGAGCTAATGAGATGGTAATTATTTCAGCTGCCTGCAGGGTGGAGGAAGGCAGCAGCTGTCAAGCAGGGAGCAGCACTGGCTAACTGTCTGGGGATGGAAGAGAAATTGGTGACAAAAAACTGGCTCCTCAAAAGCTAGTTTAGGTACGGAATAGCTCCCTGTTCAGAGCTAGGCACCAAACCTTTTCCTCTTAAAAGTTTTGTGGAAACTAAGCAGTGTCTCTTCAGAGGTGGAAGGTGCCCCTTACTGACTTACACCCTCTTTTTGCAAAACTGCAGAGCTTTCTTGTAGGTATTCTTCTCAGAAACTGACAGTGGGGCCTGAGGGAATAGACCCAGAAGCATTCATGGTAATGGGCAAGATGTTACCATACTGTCAATGTTGCCTCTCTTTGTAGCTTTGTGATGAACCTGGGAAAGGACTCGACCCACCTGGGGCTTCACTTCAACCCCCGCTTTGACGCTCATGGTGATGTGAACACAATCGTGTGCAACTCAAAGAATGTGGAAGAGTGGGGCAAAGAGCACAGGGAGACGGTCTTCCCTTTCCAGAAGGGTGCTCCTATAGAGGTGAGGCCTGGGATGTGCTTTCTGTACCTGCTCTGGTGAAGGAAGGGTATTTGGCACAGGGCACCCAATTGCAGGAGCTGGCTCCAGACTGTCTGTATGGGATGTAGCTGACCTCTACTTGGCCAGTGCCATCACCCTGGGCTCTGAGTAGTGGTGGAGGGTGGCAACTGAACGTGTATGAGCTCCGTTTATCTCAAATGTTGCTATTGAACTGAGGCAAGGAACTGGCATCTCTTGGGAGACCAGAGTACCACTAATGCTGTTGCAGAGCTGGTTATGCTGTGAGTGTGTTCACTCTGCAAAGTGGAGGGTGGCACAGCAACACTGAGGGGGAAAGGTTTGCAGGATGTCTTGGCAGAAGCTTTCTCTGACTCTTCCACTTGTTTTTCAGATATCTTTTGCCATCAACCCAAGTGATGTGACAGTCCATCTGCCAGGCCACCAGTTCACATTCCCCAACCGGCTTAGTCTCCAGGTCTTTGACTACTTTGATGCACAAGGAGACTTCACACTCCAGTCCCTCAGCTGGGAATAGTTTCCTCCTATACCCCTTCTCAAAAGGAAAAACAGAAGGCAATCAATAAATGTTTGGCCTACCTGATCTCAGAACCTAATTTCTGTCTGATTTGTCCACATTGGTCACTCTGAGAGTAAGGGAATACCAACTTTGCTGGGATACCATATGTGGGTGGGGCTGGGCCAGTAAGAGGGGAGATTGGGTGGTTCAATCCAGACTTGGCCCCCAAATTTGTGTAAGGAGCAGCAAAGGGCTAGGGCAGAGCCTCTCCTGCCTTGGAAGGCAAATAAACTAGCTCCAGAGAGCAAAGGGAAGGGTGGAAATGAGAAGAGGCAATACATTATCAATAGTCCCTAACTTGGACAGAGTAGAAGTGTTCCTTAGGTAAAACCACTTCTTCTGAGGCTTAGCCTGACAAACTTTCTGCCTGAGGAAAGGGAGTTGATGAAATCTATCGTTCCCTAAACTGAGCATCTCCACCTGGCAGGTCTCAGACAGCCTGGAGTGGCTGGGCTGGGCAAACCTTGACAGGCATGTGGGGGGGGGGGGGCTGGGAAATCCTCAGCTGTGCTGTCTTTGGCTTCCACCTCTCTGTAATAGCCTGTCCCACTGATGGCCTCTAGCATCTCCTTGGGATCTCTTAGTGCTGTTGTGCTGGGGCAGCAGTAGAAAGGGAAGTCTTGCTGCGTATGGAGGAGTCTGCAGTGGGTTCCTCATCCACCTCCTTCCTCCTAAAAACTGCAAAAGCCCAAATGCAGCTGGGTCATTGCCCATGTGGCATGTCTGGCAGCAAGCTGGAGGGATCTGCTTTCAATCTACCCCATCTGCCTGGCTTATTGTCTCTAGAGCTGGGAATGCTATCCTTCTCCTATCTGCTCCAAGGGGCTGGGATTGGTAGCAACACATAGCTGGGATGTGGGGTACCAAGGATGTGTGCACTATGCTTTTGTTACCCCTTCATTAGCTCAAATGAGCCTGAGTGCTTCTCAGTCTAATCTAAGGCTGCTAGGCCCTTCCTTCAGCTGCTGAAGAGCCAGAAGGTGAGGCATGTTGTGATGCTATAGCACATTCCTCACTGAGCTGTGGGTTATTCAAGGCATCTGACAGCAGTGGCCTTTGGGGCTCTCCCAGTTTAATGCTACTTCAGCAGTGTGAGCAGCAGCAGTTGCTGCTGCTGGGGAAGGAGATGCCTAGCAGGCCTGAGAAAGGTGGGAGCTGCTCTTTCCAGTGCAAAGCAGTTGCCAGCTAGGCTTGAGGTGGAGGGTCCAAATCTTTGGGGCCTTGCTTCCAGGCTGGACAATGAGCAATACAAAACTGAAACACTTTGATGGCCTACAAGGGCACCCAGCTGGCCGATTCCCCTCATTAGCCTGCTGCAGAGCAGCTGGAGTGCAGGAGCTTGTTCCTAAGGCAGCAGCACCTCCTGTTCTTGCACCGCAACTCCCGAGGAGCTTCCAGGCCATGTGTCTTGGGGTACCTGCACAGAGCAAGGCTTGGCTGCTAGTACGTGGGGAACTCAACTTGGAGATGAGGGCTTGAGATGGGCTTTCAGGCTGGCAGACAGGAACACTTGGGGTTTACAAGCAATTCATGCTCTGTGGTTGGATCTCTCGCGGCCCTCTGTGCTCTGCTACCTGAACCAACCCGTCAAGAGTCGTCTTGCTCACTTTCTGCTCTTTAGGACTATGTCTATATTAGTAAATGTAACATCTAGCACTGACACCCAGTGCCCAGACACAGCTGGGAGACAGGATGGGCTGGGGACTGCTCCTATGGGGTGGTATAGACAAGGCTATCCTTTTTGGGGGTGAGAAGACAGTTTAGCTGGATGGAAGTAAGCCATGCTGGGCCAGCAGGCCTCAGGGTGAGAAAATTGGCCCAGTTTATGTACTGGCATTGGCACAGCCTGACAGACTGGGGTGAATTCTGTAGGACAGAGGGCTGGGGATCTCCTCAACTGGAGCAGGGACATTGTGTTGGTGAGGGGCCCCTTCGTTAACGGTGATGAAGGGTAGGTAGCGGAGCTATTTCCTTGCAGCTTCCTCTGCTGAGGTGACCTCAAAGCTGCCCAGGACACATGCTGACTTCCCTGAGCTATATTTCAGGGGTGTCTCATACAATTCATAATGTCTTTCAATGGCACTCAGGAGTCTTCTTTTTTTTGGCCGGGGCCGGGGGCGGGGGGGAATATTTTTTAAAAACTTTAAAAAAAAAAAAAAAGCTGAATCTGAGTTTTACCACAAGTCAGGGGATGAACATTACTTCAGGTCTCCTGCTAGCGTGGCTGGTTCTAGAAGTGACTCACTAGTCCCATGAAATCCTGTGATTCACTGTTGTCCTAACTTTGTTATGTCTCAGCCTGTTGCCAGCAAGGAGGTGAGGGGTGGCGAGGGCTCTTTGGCAGCATACTATAGATGTATCGAGGCTGACTGCTCCCTTCCACCTACTCCCTGCTTTTGCAAAAGGTGGTGGCTGCTGTGCAAGGACTGGAGGAGCCAAGGACTCCTCACGCATACCGCACTCAGGATCCCCAAGGCAAGTCTTTTCAAGAGCTTCTTCCACCCTTCTGAGGGATGCTTCACCCAAGAGGACGCAAGCACTGATAGATGGATAAGCCGGGGGGGGAGGGGGTTACAGTGGCCTTGTGGAGGGAAGGGCGCAAAGGAGACTACGCTGCAACAACAGAGGACACTGCACATCGGCACAGCGGACGACTCACTTTATTTTCCCTTCCTGGCAGACTCAACCCCAGTGAAGAGCTGGGAGAAGCCCCCGTCCAGGCGTTTATCGCTGCTCTAGGCCCTCCCCACTTTCCCCTGTGGACCCAGACAACTTCTTGAAAACGAGGGAGGTGCCGTTGCCTCCTGTCGTGGCCTGCATTGCCCCCCGAGAGGGGGCCCAGGGCTCTGGCGGCCCCCTCCCGCTGCGGCCGGAGGGCCGGCGGTAGCTCCTGGTGAGTAGGGTGTAGAGGAAGGGGTTGACGCAGCTGTTGCTGTAGGCCAGGCAGGTGACCCCGAAGTTGAGGTAGGCCTGGGTGGTGGGGCCAAGGCCCAGGCCCTCGCCCTGGTACAGCCTGGTCAGCTGCCAGGCCCAGAAGGGCACGAAGCAGGCCCAGTAGGCCGTGATAATGCTGAAGATCCGGGAGAAGAGCTTCTGGGAGGAAGCTCGGCCGGTGGCCGGTGGCCCCAAGCCCGAGGTGGACACCCGGTAGACCCGGGCCAGGCGGGCATAGACAACACCCAGCACCAGGCCGGGTGCCAGGACACTGGTGACAAACAGCACTGTGAGGTAAAGCCGGAAGGCAGATGGTGTCCAGGTGGGGAAGCAGATCCGCTTGTGGTGACTGCCTCGGTCCCGAAGCTGGATCATCGCCATCATAGGAGCCGTTAGCAGGAGCGAGAGGAGCCACAGCACAGCACTGGCCAGCTTGCGGTAAGCGTTTCCAGTCCGCCTGGCCCGCAGCGGCCTGCTCACCGCCCAGTATCTCTCCAGGCTCATGGCAGTCAGGAGGAAGATGCTGGCATGCATGGTGAGGAGGTCCAGGCTGAGCAAAAGCCTGCAGCCCACATCCCCAAAGAACCAGTCGTGGGCAAAGTACGTGCAGACCACAAAGGGGATGGTGGAGAGGTACAGGAAATCAGCCAATGCGAGGTTGATCACATAGACCCCTAAGGAGCCTGCCGAGCGGCCCACAACCCTGCCGGAGGCCACCACCAGTGTATAGACATTCCCTGCCATCCCAATGAGGCACATGACCAACAGCATTGCACTCAGGGGCCCCGTGACTGGGCTGTCGCCTCCCAAGACACCGTTGCCGTCACCCCCGCCACTGCTCTCCTCTGAGAAGTTACCACCCTCAGGGTCCTCTCCAGGCCTTGTGCTTAGCAGGAAAGGGTCACAAGACATCTTTGGGCACAGGAAGCAAGAGCAGTCAGGCTGTCAGAGACACGTTTCTTTCCCCCACCTTCCTCACTTGCTGTATGGGAAACGTGTAGTCTTAGCACAAGAGCAGCCAAGAGAAGGAGAGAACAGTGTGAGTTCAGCAGACATCAAGGTATTCCCCCAAAATCCATTCCTCACCTCCAGTGGTCCATCTGTTTTGCTGATCTTGTCCATCACAAGCCCCATCCGGTAGTTTTCCTTAAACGCCAAGCGGTTGAGAAAAGGACCCCTCCTCCTCTCAAGGTTGATCAATGCTAAACAGCCTCTACCTGCGAGGAGGAAACAGCTCTGCTCTCCACCAGCTCCTCTCTCGCCTCTTCCCAGTGTTCACTGGGCCCATAGAAACCAGCAGAAATTTCTCCTCAGTGGGTAAGTGGATTTCTTCTTCTCCCAGGTCTCTGTACCCTTTCAGCTCAAAGAGACACTGGAGAGCTGTGCTCTGCGCCCCTGAACCAACCCTTGGAGAGTCATCTTGCTCACTCCGCGGAGGAATGTGCCCGACTCACAGCTTCACACACCAGTGTCAATGCATTCCCAATTTATACTCAACTTTTAGCCACTAGCTGAGGAGCCGTGCTGGCTCCCTCCTCCTTCTTTCATACACACCTTAAGAGCATTCTTCCTTCCCCAATGCCTTCCTCCTTCTTCCTCCCACTCTCTTTTTGTTCTTTTTTTTTTTTTTCCATTTCTATTTCTCATTTCCCTCCATAGCTTTCATCCTTTGAGAGAGGATATAACTAAAAGATAAGGCTCCCTAATGTGGCAGGAGTAGGATGGAAAGCTACTGTATTTTAGCTTGAGAAGGGAAACAAGGTCAGCATCAAAAATGGAATAGGCAGGGAGCTGCCACGTTGCTCTCCGCTGCTCTTAGCCAAGCAAGGATGAGGGTCTGTCCTCTATCTCTCCTTCAAGGACAACAGGACCCCTTGAGGTGTACAATGGAGTTTAGCCACTGGTTGTGCAGGCAAAGATCCCCATAGCTCACCAGTGGTAGGACACCCCTCTCCCCCCCATCGCCTCTGACCTGGCCTTGTTCCTCCCTCGTCCCACAGTCAGCAGGCAATTATAAGCTGTGATCTTAGAACCTAGAGACTCAAAGGGATGGATATTTTAGACCCATCTCTTCCTCCCCTTCCCCAAAGACCATTCTCCTCCTCTAACTTTTCCCCCACCTCCCCTTTTCCCACCAGTACCTGCTCGCACACCTCAGAAAGGGAAGCAGAGGTGTGGGAGGTAGGTACTATTGCCTCCTAGTGGTGTATCGATGTATGACACAGGCCCCAAAAGGCTTTGTGCTCAACCACTACCTTGCTGTTTCCTCGCCGAGATCTGAGCCTCCCTCACCTCAGGGAGCAGACATGGGGCAGAGTTTGCAGAGCACAACCATATGTGCCATTACCAAGTATGCTCTGCTGTTAGTCCACAGGGATTTTTCAGGCCACTCCAGATACACTCTCCTGTATCCTCAGTGTAGTAGCTTAGCTCTGTTTGAGTCAAATGCCTCCACTCACCTCCAGCAGCAACATCTCAGCAGTGAAGAGAATTAAGCATCCCAAGCAGCAGTGCCTGTACTGCCCCTGTTGCAGTAGGATCCAAGCACCTTCCCAAGTGATGTGCTAGCATGCAACAGCACCAGCTTCAGCACCCCTTGCTACACAACTGGCAATGTATGGCACATGTGACATTGCATGGAGGGGTCTTCAAAGGCGGCCTCCCTTTAGGATATGGTGAGCAGATTGTTGGTCTGTCTGGGTCACTCTCTCTCCTCTTCTCCCCGGAGAAGAACTGAATATGCAGGATGTTTAAATGAGGCTTATTTTTTTACTGGACTGCCCCATTTCATCAGAACCAAAAGGGCACTTTTGGTGCCCTCAAAACAGAAGGAGATAAGCTTTGCGGCGGCCTTTAGTTTCCGGGATAGTTCATGCCTCAAACTGGGAGAGATCGACAAGCACAAAGAGAACGTACTTTTGGTTGTAAAGCTTCATTGTGCCACGGCAGCAGGATCAGTAATGCTGCTTCTTGTCCAGGAACCTCAGGTGAAAAGCTGATGCTCCCAACAGGTTATGGTGGTCCCAGCACAGACAAGGACTCCCAGAAAAGCAGAGAGGACCGTGCCTTTGTTCATTTGGCTCTTACGGGAAGATTCACAGTCAAAGTGCCCTGGGAAACGCAATGAACAGCCATGGCTCCTTGCTCTGATTGTCTGTGTCTTTTTTCCTCACGAAACAAACTCATGCCTTAGCAGTTAGCACCTCACCTCACTTAGGAAGAAAGAACTTACAATAGGATTTTTAATTCATTTCTTTAGGAACTAATTGAAATACTGGTTGCCCCATGCATTCCAGTTAGCTCCCCTTAACACACTAGATGCCTATTCTCACACTGCCTGTGTAAAACTGCAGACACGTTAGATACTGCAGTCATCAGAACTCAGCTGGTCCTTCCAGCAAGTGAAACACAGCTTTTCCAGGAGAGTTTAAAGAGGTGATCTCTAAAACATGAATCATGGGTGGATTTAGTTGCTAGGTCCAAGTGTTACTAGAAAGACATGAACATACAAACTTACCTGTTATACTATCGCATGAAAGTGTTAAAATACACAGGTCAGAATGAAAGTGCTTGGCCTTTGTCATACACTTGCCTTCTCCAGAGCAGAGACCCATGTATTACTAACTTCAGACATCAACCCTTTGGCTCCAGCAAAGTCAAAAGAGAGTCAAAAGACTGTAACAGATGTGCCACAAGCTGTTCTCTGCAGAAGCCAACTTCTCTCCATTGGTTTGACTACAGAGACTCATATTTGACAGTGGAACTTCAACAACATGAATATCCCTTGCAGTATCTTCCCTAGGCCAATTATTTCCCCTCCCACTTTTTGTTATGTGCCTGAAAACACACACAAGCTATCCACATACACATATGTATACACACACTTGGACTCTTAATCTTCTCAGTAGCAACTGGAGGAAGGTCTCTATATAAACGTCAGCTGAAGAAGCTCTCAAGCCCATGCACAGTTGTCAGAAAACATCCCTCAGGCTTAGCTGCCGAATTACATCTTTTAAGTGAGCTTTCTCAGCTACAGCTCTAACTGATCAAATATCTGGATGTTTCACTTCTCTGTCCCCAGCAGAGAAGCCATTTTGTGTAATGGAACAGTCCCTCCTAGTCCAGCCACTGCAACCATCTGGGCCTTAGCTCCAGCCAGGTGGCTGTTTTCTTGCATAAGTTAGGTGGCTCTCCGCAGTTTCATGCAGATGTGACATCAGGTCCCATGTCCAACAAAGTGCCTGCCAGCATGCAGTCAGATCACAGAAATTCAACAGTGACCAGTTGCACTGAGGGTTCAGTCTTACAAAGTCTCGCATTGGAAAGGAAGCAGCTTAATCATGCCCCCAGACCAAAGTGGTTTGTCTATGGAAAACAAAGTGCTTCAAAGGGCGGGTTGTAAGAGCATTGTGTTTCTCTGACGTGCGTCTCCTCACCTCTCCTGACACCCCACCCAACAGCATCAGGCAGAGTGGAGTCATAGCTGGGTTCTCACATGGCTTCCTAGGATTTAACCTTGAAGTAGGCTTCAACTGTAGTGAAGGGAAAAGTTGGTGTATTAGGACATTACTCTGAATTTGAGGGGGGGGAGGGGAAGGAAATAGCACCTCCAAGCACTTACTTGCATATTCCTGTGGTATCATGGGCTGGTTGATGACGCTAGTGAAGGCTGCTATCCAGTCCAGCTGGTCAGTCTCTGTCTCACAGGTGAAGAGGTACTCCCGGTCAGGGGTGACAATGGTGAGGCCATAGCGCCAAGAGAAGTTGCCCTGTGTACCCGAAGGCAATCCCTTCTGGACGCTATAGCCATTCTCTCTGCTGCCCACAAACACTTCGCCCTTAGCAAATGCATCCTGCATATCAGAAGGGA